CCTCAGGCTTTCTAGATAGTCTAACCATTACAGTAGTCTTAATTTAAAAACTCACTGAAAGTACAATAAACAAAATTCAGTATAAATTCAAACTATGAGAATGTACCTCTAAGACAAACATGGTTACATACAAAATATGCAAAATATTTTATAGAAAATATTAAAGTGTAAGAACTCCATAATATAAATGAACCAAATTTTCATTATCCACTCGTCAATTGAAGGACACTTAGGTTGCTTCCGTCTCTTAGCTATTGTGAGAAGAGCAGTAACAAACATGGATGTACAAGTGTCTCTGCAATAGGATGAGTTCTTTGGGTATATGCCAAGGAGTGGTATCACTGGGTCAAATGGTAGGTTCATTTGTAGTTTTTAAGAGCTCTCCACTATACTTTCCATAGGGGTTGAACAAGTTTGCATCCCCACCAGCAGTGGATGAGTGTTCCCTTTCCCCACATCCTCTCCAACATTTGGTACCATTTGTTCTTGATCTTAGCCAGTCTGACTGGGGTAAGGTGAAATCTTAAAGTGGTTTTAATTTGCATTTCCCTAAATATTAGTGATGCTGAACATCTTTTAAGATGTTTCATAGCCATCTTCACTTCTTCTTTTGAGAACTCTCTGTTCAGCTCCTTAGCCCGTCTTTTAATTGGGTTGCTTCTTGTCTTGGCCCTCTGTTTTTTTGAGTTCGTTATATATTCTGGTTATTAAACCTCTGACAGATGCGTCGCTGGTGAAAATTTTCTCCCATTCTGTGGGTTTTCTGTTTGCTTCCTTGGTTGTCTCCTTTGAAGTACAAAAGCTTTTTAGTTTAATGAGGACCCATTTGTTAATTCTTGCCCTTGTTTCCTGAGCAATTGATGTCCGGTTTAGAAAATCCTTTCCTATACCTATATCTTGTAGGTTTTTCCTAATGTTTACTTCTACTAATAGTTCAGAGTTTCAGGCTTTACATTGAGGTCTTTGAGCCATGTGGAATTGACTTTTGTGCAGGGGTTTAGTTTCATTCTTCTACAGGTGGAGATCCAATTTTGCCAGCACCATTTGCTGAACATGCTGTCTTTCCTACAGTTAATCTAAATCACAGTTAATCTAAAATCACAAACTAATCATGCAGCTCAGTATTAGAATATCTGTCCATGCTTACAGTCTCACTTGTTTCCCTTGCACTGGAAAATAAATAAATCTTACAACTGGTGAAAAGAAGTAAACACCTAAATTAAAAAGGTTTATCCAAGATATGAACATAAATTCAATTTTTTAAAAATAATTTAAATCCATCATTTCAACAGACTACAGAAAATATGTGATCATATCAATAAATCCAGAAAAGCATTTACAAATTTGAGATTTAGAGTTGGATTGTGGGTCTGTTGTAGAACATCTGATTGACATGAGCAAGATATGTGTTTAATTCATTGAACTGCAAAAACTAATAAATAAAAGAAATACATACCTTTTCAAGACCAAAACACTCAGCAAACAAGATATAGCAGGCAATTTCTTGAACTTGATAAAGACTATGTAATTTGTAGGTACCATTAAGAGTGAGAAACTAGTTTTCCTATTAAAAATCATAAAAATGGTTCTCTTTTTTTACTAATTGTTTTCACCATCAAACTGGAGCCCCTAAATAATTGCATGAGAGAAACAATACACACGCAAGCACATACACACACATATGTATATACCACATATAAATGATATATACATCCATATGAAGAAATTAAACTGTTTCTATATGATA